AGAGAGAGAGAGAGAGAGAGAAGGAAACAATTACAGTGTCTTCGTTCCTAAGTCTTTGGTATACTTTGGTGAATTTCTTCCACGGCTTGACGAAAACGTTTCTCTTGTCCATCATCGTGTACCCCAATCGAAGACCGGAAGTCGTTCCGGTCAAAAATCTAGAGAAAATTTTATTAAAAAACAGAACTGTAATTGATTTTCTTCTTTGAATATTTCGTATACTTTTGCGTATAAATGCGTGAAAATCTTTTTAATATCTATCGGAGAAAGAAATATAATTTTATTAAAAAAAATACTCTAGCTAGTTATATTTTTAATTTCTGTGAGAAATCATCTCGATTAACTCTCTCTGAGTTCGTATTCCCTAAATTAAAAGTTATCATAATTCCTCTCTGTCTCATGAAGTGTATAAAAATTTTAAAAGTCAATCGAAAATAATTTTCAATGAACAACATTCTAAATTTGAAATATTACCAATTAATATAGGAATTAATCTCAATCTCCTGATTAATTAATATATATTTCAGAATTGAAGAATAAGATCTGTCGCAGAGAGTGGAGGGGGATATACACGCAGTGTATAAAGAAAATAATACGAAACGCGAACCTGGACAACCATTCAGCGGATTCTGTGCCGCAATCGATACACTTCACCGGCTCTCCCCACCACATGGTACACTGAACGGCTTCAGAAGCGTTCTCGGCGTTCTTCGGAACTTGGAAGATCACGCTGGGCATCCCAACAGCCTCTAACTTCACCTTGGTCTCGTCCACCGCGGATAAGCTCACTAGGATCAACGTTGGATATTGCCTTCCGGTTTGGAAGCGTCCAGTTTCCTCGTTGTACACTAGAAACATTCTGATGAACAGCAGGGGATTCATCTTCGGTTCGTTTAGGAAAGGGAGGTTTGGATTTTATAATTAATGACTCATTCTAGCCATTGGGTCTACTGTATTTAGAATAATGTTGCTATCCTTTAATGAAACCAATATCTAGACCACCTATGGATTTCCTTTGTATTTTTTAAACGTTCACGAACATGATCAGAGAAATGGATCGTTTCTTCTGCACAGAACTGTAATTTTCTTCTTTGAATATTTCGTATACTTTTGCGTATAAATGCGTGAAAATCTTTTTAATATCTATCGGAGAAAGAAATATAATTTTTGATGAAACAATGAAAATGTTTTTTTTTTTTTAAATAGTGGTGTGCATGTTGGAGGTTCAGGTTAGGGCCTAACTTGAATTAGGAAGAATGATGGATCTTGGTTAATATTTTATGAAGTAATTAATCTATATGTGCCTGATATAATATCAAAAATATAATATAAAAATATTAATATGATGCAACGTATAATATACAGAATAGAAACAAATATATAATAAATTAGTCAAAATTAACATATGTAATAAACGAATTTTTTATCCAAAACATAAGCTTAGTGTAACATAACACAATTAATCTGGAATACTAAGAAACAAGATATATCCCAAAGTACATGCCTAACATTAAGGCTCTAAATTAAAAGTATTACACTGTATAATAAGTAAATTTCATACTTTTTACTTAGTAGTTGAAGTAAAATTTTACATCCAGAGAATGTTGCACAAAACGTTTGATTACCTGTCTCTGAGCTTGAACTTGCCCGCATCCTCGAAACTGATTCCCCATTCGGTGAAGTCACATTCCATTATGCTCTTCCCCCGACCAGACTTCAATGGATACACGTACAATTCTTGAATTTGGCCAACCTTCTGCCACTTTGGATCTGGCAGTTCGGTAATCGTGTCATCACGCTCCTCATCGTTCTTCTCGCTTCGCCTCGTTCCCTCGTTCTCTTCTTCAGTTGTCTCCGCGTTTACGTTCTCCTCGCTGTTAACATCCGGCTTGCTCTTCGTCTCATTCTTCGGGGACTGTTTCACGCGTTTCCGCTTCTGGTGGGACGTCGTCCTCACAGTCCAAACCACGACGATGAGGATGGCCGCGCAGCTGCACGTTATCGCGACGGTCGACCGCCAGTTCTAGAAAAAAAAAAAAAAATGCACACGACCTTGAGCGAAAATGGAACGCGACCCAGCTGCTGATAGCGCGTAGAGACATTTGAGTGAAAATGGTTCGTGACGGAGGCTCGGAAGTTCGTTTGACACAATTTTCTTCTTTTTGTAAAGATGTTTCTCGATAGAGCAATGCTAGGGAATTTGGTTAATTTGGAAATTTGCTTGCGACGTTTCAGGAGGAGATAGTCCAAAGTTTAGGAATGTAATTCCTTTCAAGCTTCAGGGATTTCGGGCGAGTTTGAAATTATTCAAATTTCATAATTTAGAACGTGAGCTTGGATTTAGAAGAATTTCGATTGAAATTACTTTGCGAAACTTTTGACTACGAATGAACGACAATTTTTTTCAATCTCTGATCGCAAATAAACAGTAAGTTCGTTCGAATTTCGAAAATTAGTTCGGAAATTTTTAGCAGTCTGAAGATGTTGAAACAAATTCACGAATCCTTAATAACAACGAAAATTCCATTGGAAACTACAAAACTCTAACTTCATGGTAATTCTACGTTCGCACTTCAAATCCCTCGTTCTTTTCCATTACGTTGCCAATATCTCGCCTTATCTGGGCTCTTACTAACGAGGCAAAAAAAAAAAGATCATCAGTAATTTTCCTCGACGAGATTAGATAAGCATCGACTGATCGTCCCTTTTTAAATTGCCGTCACACTCATTCAGCAAACTGTTCGCCGATCCAGTGTCAAAATTCTAGATGAGAGTGGCGCATAGTTCTTCGCCAGTTACATATTACTTCGAAGCTACGTCGAATGTTGATCACCGTGCCGTGACAATCGAGCATTGTGCCATTGTGCCCTAATCGAATTCCTCCGCCAAAGCGGCTTAACGCGGCTTATTTATTTGCGCGTGGTTTTTGATCGTCTCGGAACCTACTTCTTTCTCGCAGACATCTGTCCAAAATTCTCACTCGCTTCCTTTAACACGTTCCGTGCCAAGCCATTTTCCCCTTTTGTTGTCGTTCAGGCCATTTGATATTTTCACTAAAGGTTGAT